GAGTTCTCCCCTATGTACACACCTTCCCTTTCTCTCTCCACACTCTGCTGGCTCTTTTCTCCATATCCATGCCTTCCATCACCACCTTGCCACCTCCAAAATCCACCTCTCTTTTCCAAGCTCCAGGTGTGCAAACCAAGCCCAGGATGAACTCATTTTCTTCCTTCCTTGAATCTGGGTTTCCTCCTGCATCCTTCTGTCCAAGTCAGAAACCTGGCTGTTTTTGCTGCTTCCCTTACCTGACACTAGTGCCAGCCACGAGTCTGGCCCCTTGCTGGTCACTGGGGATATAACAGGGTGCAAACAAACACACCAGGCCTGTCACGCGGCAGCTGGCGGCAGACACACATTCTGATACACAATTAGTCCTAGGAAGGTAATAAACTGGGGTCCTAATTTTAATGGGAAAGACTTCCCTGGGGAAGGACATTTGAACTGAGATCTGCAGGATGAGGAAGCATTTATCAGCTAAATTGGGGCCGGGGGACAATCTAGGCAGAGGGAAGAGCTTGTGCAAAGACTCTGTGGTAGGGGGAAAAAAACACATTTAAGAAGTAGAGGGGATAGAAGAGGAGGGGGGAGTGTGGCTGGGAGGTGGGGGGGGGGGCACGATTCCCGGCCAGGGAGGCTGTGCTAGTCTCGCTGGGCTCCTCCTCACTGCTCACGCTACCCTTCTCTTTTTTAGCTCTCTCCCATTCTGAAATCCTCATTGTTCACACATAGAAAATTAAAATACCTCCCGCCACCTTCAAATCCATCTTGTGCACCACAGTCTTAAGTGATATTTCTAAAGCATAAATCTGATTAAGTTGGCCCCCAGGATCCAGTCCTTCCCCTGGCTCCCTGTTGGCAGGATAGAGTCCTGCCCTTCTTCCTCTTTTGTTAGTCCCCTTCACCGGGGCTCTGCTGACTCGCCTGCAGTTCCCAAAAAAGTGCTGGGCAGATTGTGCTTTGGTGCCTGAGTGCCCTTGCTTTCTTTGTCTGCTCATCTTCCTGAGTGTGACTCATCCCACCTCTCCAGGGAGCTGTCTCCCACCCACTCAGGCGCTGTATTGGCCTCTCCTCTTGGCCACGCACATGCTCACGCTGGTGTTATTTGTCCTGCCTCATTCCTTGCTTTCTGACATGTGTGCTACCTTGTGAGACTGCGGACGCTGGAGGGAGGGCAGGAGGAGGGAACGCATCTCTCTTTCTCCTGCTGGGGCCACCAAACTGGGCGCATATTAAATGTCAATATTTTCTTGAAAACCTGGTGGTGAAGGAATGACCTGGCATAAGCAGGTGGTGACATGAAGCTTCACCTGGATGGCTGTGCATCCAGGGGCCTGGCAATGGGTCTGGGTCCCAAGATGGCCATGTGCTGTCTGCCTTTATTTCTAATAATCGAACACAGGCCTCGGGACTGCTTCCCTCTGCCCCAGCTGCCACCTGCAGCCATCCAGATGGCCAGGTGTATGCAGGAAGTCAGTCAAGAATGGAGTTGGTCTTCCAGTATAGTGGTTCTCAAACCAGTTGTCCATCAGAATCACCGGGAGGGTTTGTTTAAACATTTATGTTTAAACATAAATGTAAACCACAGGGCCACATGCTCGGAGTTCCTGATTGAATAGATTTGGCTTGGAGCCTGAGAATCTGCATATTTAACAAGTTCCCAGGTGAAGCTGATGGTAGTCTATGGACTACTTTTTGAGAATCTCTTTTCTGAAGAAAGGGTTTACTCTAAAAATAATTACTCACTGTGGTATTGGGGAAGGAGACACAGCAAATTCTTTGCTTGGATTTGGTTTTGTAGGACTATTTGTATGAGGTTAATGTGGATAAATGGAACAGCTTCTATACACTTACCACCTCCTCCTCCAGCTCCTGGTTTTCCCCACAAAGTGTTTCTGTGTTCATTCATCAGCTCTTCCATGAGTATGTTTTGAAGGTGTGCTCTGTCACGGCAGCATATAAGTTGATGTCGAGATGAAATCTATGTAAAACTGTCCTTTGGAGAGATCTCCAGCACAGACGTCCCTACAATCCAAGGAACTCAAAGATGGGTAGTGAGCTCCCCATCAGTGGAATTGTCCCAGGACAGGGTTCCAGAGTAATAGTGGGAATTAAGCAATTTGTTAGATAGACCAAATGATTGTAAAGATCCTGAATATTCTGTGATTAAGGAAGACAATAAAATGGCACAAATGGAGTTTTATGTAGCATATAGTGGGAGAGCTGAGGCCTCCTCCTGGAAATACGGATATTATCATCTTATTTTTAATAAACATTTATTCCTCACCAATGGTATGTTTGGTGACAAGATGAATTTATATCCAGTGACCCCATAATTTGCTGTTTATTGAGCTCAGGTCATTTTAAAAGGCTAAATAGAAAAAGCTGCAGGCTGGCCCAGAATGCATGCTGCAGGGCCTCTGAGTCAAATGGGAATTGAGATATATAATGCCATTTTTTTTTTTTTTGCAATATTTACACACACATGTGCCTGAGAAAAAGTGAGAGAGAGACTAGCCAATTGTAGGACTTGAATTTATAGTTAGTCTCTAGATTGGATTTTAGACTTTCACCTTATAAGAAAGTCTAGCCAATTGGCAGGTCCCATAATCTGAGGTTGGGGTCAAAGTCCTCTTGCAGAAGGCTCTGGGACTTATGAGGTAGCAGGGCAAGTTGAAACCCCTTGCCCCTCACTACCACTTATTGAGCATCTATTATGTGCTGGGTACTGAGTGAGATACTTTACAAATGTTATTTATAATTCTTCAAAGAAAGTAGTAATCTCATGATTTTCAGATAAAAGGTACAGAGAGAGTATTTGTCTTGTCTACTTATATCCAGCAAAAGTCCTCAATTTATGTTTGGAAGTTAATATAACCATAAAATTGAAATGTGATGAAAGTCCAAAAATTATAGACCCATCTCAAGTCTGAATATAGATGCAAAATGCAATATTAGCAAGTAGAATATAGCAGGGAATCAAATGGGCAATACTCTGACCAAAGGGAGCACATTCTAGGGAGGAGGCAGGGTCCAGTCACAGGAATCATTAGGAAATCACCATAATTCACTGTATCAGCAAACTAAGGAGCCATATATCAGCAGATGCTGAGAGGGTGGCCAATAAAATTCTCCTATAATAAAACTCTAAAAGGAATAAAAAAAACAACTTAAATTTGATGAAGATTAAAAATTAGCCATGGATATCATTCTAAAAAAGTGAAACACTGAATCCTATTTCATTAAAAGAGGAAATGCTTGTTTTTGCTATTTTTAGATATTGCCTTGGGGACTCTTATATACAGGTTAAGAAGATAAAACAGTTGGTATAAAGATGAGAAGAAAGAAATGAGGTGATCTAGTTTTGCCAATAGCTGCATAGTAGGTCCTTTGTGCTGGTTTCACTTCCTGAGGTTTTGGTTACCCATGGACAACTGTGGTCTGAAGACATCATGTAAAATAATATATTTTGAGAGAGAGAGAGAACAAACCATATCCAAAGGCCATTTATTATAGTATATTGTAATTCTCTATCTTATTATTAGTTGTTGTTAATTACTGTGCCTAACTTACAAATTAAACTTTACCATACATCTATATGTATAGGGAGAAATATAGTACATGTAGGGTTCAGTGCTATGCTCAGTTGCAGACTGGGGTCCACTGGGGGTGTTGGAACACATCTCCTGTGAATAAAGGGAAACTACCATAATACCTAAAAACACCTAAAAGCATCTAGTAAGGAAAGAAACCTGACTAGAAATAATAAAGAAATTGGGTAAGATGGTTGAAGGGCTCTTTTCTATACTTGTTGGGGTCACGCAGCCAGTCAGTTTTGGTACCAGGACATGGGATTTGAACTCAGGTGTGATGGTGAAGTCTGTGTTCCTTCCATCTTGTGGCACATTTATGCTCACGGCTATAACCCAGTCACGTGGAGGGAGAGTCTCCTAAAGCCTGTGGCCTCGGGGGTGCTGGCACATCAGTGGGGTTTGGTGTGCCAGGGAGAGGTGGCCACAGAATGGAAAGGTTAGCACAGGAGTTTTACTGGAAGACCTGCTAGTGCTTTGTGTGTATGTGGAGGGGGCAGGTGGGGAGTGAGGTAGGGGGGATGGTCTGGTCTTAAGCCATTTAGTCAGATTTCTCGTGTTCTGGGCAGCCAGCTATTGGAACTTCCTCCTTCCTTCTTCTTGGCTCCAGGATATTTCTGTTGCTTGTCTCACACTGTCCATTTGAGAGATTTGATGAGATTCTGCATGTCAGAGGCTGCCTGGGGACCATGGGTATAAGCTCTTGGTTTCCACATCTTCCAAAAATGACTCAACTTCAGGGGTTCATGGTAGAAGTGGATTTTTTGGACACAAAAATCCCTGGGTGATATGTCAAAAATACCATGCGTAGGAAGATTTTGTCCTTCAAACAGAGTCAATCACAGGGTGGAGAAAGGAGCCCTGCATGGGAATCCGGGAGCCTGGGTCTGCCACAACTAGCTGTGTGACCCCAGGCAACTCACTTAGTCTTGCTGGGCTCACTTGCCTCATCTGCGCCATGGTGTATTGGACTAGATAGACTCCCAGGCCCCTTTGACTTCAAAGGTATAATAATCATCAGCCCTTGTCTTGTCTCCAACACTGTTCAGCGTGCTTTGCACAGAGGTTAAACCATCAGAACTATCTCATGAGGTAAGTACTGTTCTCATTTTCCCTCTGAAGAAACCGAGGAGCAGGGGGTATGTGACTTGCCCAGGGTCTCACAGCTAGAAAACGATGAAGCTTTAATGCAACGCAACTTTCACTTTTGCTTTTATGCTTTTTCTTTCCTTGGACCCATGTTGTGATAATGGTGTTGGTTCTGTCTGGGGGCAAGGGATATTGGGGGTAGGAAACACTTTGTAAGGGAAACGCAGTTCTGGGGTGGATGGATGGGCGTGCCCGCCCGGGAGAATGGCCGCAGTGGCTGCGAGGTTGCTGACATTTCGGTTCCCTTTCCTTTCTTCTTTTCCTCTCTAGTCTGCGGCAAGCGCTACAAGAACCGTCCAGGACTCAGCTACCACTACGCTCACACTCACCTGGCCAGCGAGGAGGGGGATGAAGCCCAAGACCAGGAGACCCGGTCCCCACCCAACCACAGAAACGAGAACCACAGACGTGAGTTGCCAGTTGTTGGATGGGACAGGGAGGACGTGGGTGGGCAGGGATGTGGAGCAGCCATTTCCCCACCTCTGGCATCTCCTGGTGGCACCTGTTGTTTGGCTTCAATTCCTGTGGAGAGTTGGCTCTTTCCTCCCCCCACCCCAGCTGCCTCTGTGGTTCAGCCAAGCCCCGGGCTGGGCGGGGTGGGGCACACAGTTCTGCTCCAGAGAAAGGAAGGTAAGGGTTAAGGCAGCAGGGAAACGTCTTTCCCTGAGCACTGTCAGATAACAGACCTGCTACCCTTCCCCCCAGCTCCAGAGATCCATTCACAGCTCCTAATTGGAATTGGGCATAGCCCTTAGGGCTGTCAATGCAGAAACAAGCCAGTGTCTTCTTGGTCACCAAGAGATGTGGAATATTCTTGACCTATTCTGTAGGCTCTGTTGTAGGGGTTGCGATTTTGGTGTAGGACTCTCCTGCCTTAGAAATACTGCCTTGGGGCCTCCTGGCCCTTCACTTGAGCCCTCAACTGGCAAACATGTCCAGGGGGATCCTTGGTGGTTTGCTGGGATCTGAAGACTCAAACTCATCCTAAAGATTTGCTTACACATTTATCCTTTCTTTCCTTCCTCAACTTCCACTTGTGAATGAGGGACACAGGAAGGACAGCATTCGCCACTTGACTTCCTTCTACAATATTAAATGGGATGGGAAAATGGAATCATCAGGGCTTGCTTCAAGATGGGGACCATTCTGAGATCATTCGCTGAGGAAGAATTGTGGTCATGCCATTTGTTTTTGAGGTGACTAGTGCATTCAGGCAGTCAGCTCAGCCAACTGGTGTCCATCGGCTACCTTCACTAAATATTTGAAATAACACCCTTTGGCCAAGACCTTTCTTTGCATTCATGTGTGTTTCCCGCAGCCCCACACACTTGCTAACCATTGTTGTTTTGGTCTTTTTAATATGGGCCATTTCTCACTGGTTCATCACTTTAAAGAGCCTGTCTCCAAATATAGTCACTGTTATTGGGAGTTAGTACTTCAACATAGGAATTCTGGGGAGACAGTTTGGCCCATACTACCTGCTTTAAATCTTACTTTCAGGATTCAAGCCTTTTGTGTGACACCCTTGACTTCTTACCTACTATTGTCATCTGGACCGAACCTGAGAAGCAGGGTGGGAGGGTCTGACAGAACTTGGCTCACCTCCCCTTGCCAGCTTGAGTAGCTACAATGCTGAGGTCTCTGTCTGCTCTCTGGGGACAGCTTTCCTTGGTCCCATGTCCTTCAGAAAGGAAAATATATTGACCTGTACTGAGCGGCTGATATTTGCATTTCCCCATCTCGCCTCTTATCCCTTCTGTGATCTAAGTGGCCAAGGCATAGCTATTATCTCCTACCACGAGGAGGCTGAGAATGGTCTCCTTTGATTTAGGTTGCTATCTGGAAAGTATTATTAGCGATGATTACTCTCTCTAAAGTATTTATTAGCTGGTATTATTTTCCATCCCTCCAGTGCTGGCTTATCTCCTTTACGTCTCTTCACAAATGTCAGGCCATCCTATTCCTGGTATAGGCACTTCACTCATGCTATGGGGTTTGGAATGCTTCTCTTTTGTCACTGTCTCTTTTTTGTGTGCACGGTAACAAGAGCGGAGGAAGCTTCCTCATGGTCCCCAGGTATTAGGTTGTTGGAAAAGTCATGACATATTTTTTCCTATATTTCTAAAGCAAAAGTGGATCACAGCTTTTCTGACAACCCGACATATTGCAGACCCTCACTGCAACAGGGCAGTCTTTTCCTCAGATATTCCTGTGGTCCCCTCTCGGTGGGCTGTGGACTACCAAGATGGGCACTGCCATATTTTTCTGTTCACTGGTATCTTCTCTCACACCCATGGGTTGGTATCTTCTGCCTCCTCACCTGGAGGCCAGATGGTCTTGCTTAGGAAGGAATCTGTGTTTCCTTCTCCTAAATGGAGACATGTCCTTAAAAAAATCTCATCCAGCTACCTGTTCTCCTCTCTGTGTTCACCAGCGAGCATACTTGCTCCCACACCCCCCTTTGCCCTCTTCTCACCCTGCTGATGAGAAATCAGAGTCTTCAGAAAGGAATCATCTGACCACTCAAGGCTTTCAAATCACCAAGATGAGACTGGCTGTCCCTGGGCTTCTCTGAGGCTTCCTCACCTGAGGAAGATTCCAGAACCCTCACAAACACATTTTTAATGATATCTCATAGCTCCCTCTCTGAGAATTCTGTGAGTAACCCCAATTTTCTAGTGGGGAGGGCATGCAGAAAGACCCTTAGTATTCACAGAAGCCACCCTTTCTCTCCTCCCAATTTTTCTAGACAAATGCAAGAGACAGCTGCTCTTCCCAGGCTCTCTGCACCACACACACTACCAATTTGTTTGCTGTTCCGAATGTGTGCTCCTTTCCCTCCCACATTCCCCTGGCGAGCAGCCCCCTAACCATTTCTCGTGAGTGCTAATTGCCAGCATCATTAATACCTAGTCATTAGCTGCTCCCACTGTTTGGGGTGGGGTGGGCTCCCATCCATCCTGCCCCTAAATGCCACCAGGGCTGTGTGGTGAACTGAAGTGACAGCTCTGCAGCCTCCTGAGGTCTCAGCTTCATGATCCTCCTTGGGTATGTCTTTTGGAGGTGAGCTTAACTCTGGAGGCTAATCTGTAGCTCACCATCCCTCCCCCAAAAAGATCTGGACTTTTTTGAAATGCTGACTTTTCCCTTTTTGGCAGAGCTACAGGGGGCCCCAAGCTGCCTGTGAGCACAGGCCTAAGGGAAAACAGTCCTACAGACTCAGGAGTTTTCAGGCCCAGGCGCTGGGTTCACACCACCTGGGGTAGTAGAGACCTTTTGACTTTGGTTCTCCCGCTGTCCCTTGCAGCCTCCCCTCCAACTGTGTCTCCAGCAAAGCCCGTGGCTCATCCCTGTGTGTGCTGCTGCTGAAGGGCAGAGTGGAGCCCTGGAGCCCATGTTGATCTCCCTGCCCCCAGCCCGAGCCCCAAGCTGCCCTGAGCTGCCAGCTCAGCACTTGACCACCTTCCTCCCATCCTCCTGCCCCTCCCAGCTGACGGTCTCATGCCTTTGTTCTTTACCCAGTTTCTCATTTTCTCCTGAGGTATATTTCTTGTCCTGCAGTAGGTTTGCCTTCTTCCCTTGTGCCCTTGCCGTTCTGCCTCAACTACAGCAGCCAGAGATGCTTGGAACAAAGTCTCCCCCTTGGGAGATAGTACTTTTCTGATGGGGTCTTCCTCATCCAAGCTTCACCCTTTCCCTCCCTGTGTGAGGCTGGATTCTTCTTTCTTCCGTGGCCTTACTACCTTCTGTTCATACAAATGAAATGAAATCAGTGTGTGTGTGTGTGTGTGTGTGTGTGTCACACACAAATCTGTGAATACAAGGAAAGAGGGCTTGGGCAGTCAGGACTTGAGAGGTCCATTCTGTTGTAACCCCTAAAATGCCACTTTGGTAAACAGTCTAGAGGGACCAGGGGAACAGAAAGTGCTTGATTAGAATTCAAAAGTCCTTTGACATAGGTTCACAATGTCAAGACTTTTCTTGAATTTCTTTTTTCCTTCTCTGCACAATGGAAACCTATTATAGATGTTCTCAAGGTACTTTTTTGGGGTGGGGTAAGTGGGTTGGTGTAGGCCTTTATGAGATCCTGGACCGGAATGGAAAAGCTATATAAATAAATTTAGTCCCGCCTGTCCATCTGTCCATCTGTCCATCCATCCACCCCTCCACTGAGTGAGCATTTACTGAATGCTGTCTTGGCCCTTGTCTTTGAGGAGCGTACAGTCTAAAGTGGGAGTGTCTAATAAGGGCAGACACAAAAAGTTGAAGGAGCAAAAGACCCAAGGACGCAGCACACTTTTTAGGATGGTGGTGTTCAAAGGGTGGCTTCTGTGTCCCCGGGGAGCTTCTTGGAAAGGCAGAGGACCTGAAACAGAAGTTCTGGGGGTGGGGATCAGCAGTCTATGTTTTAAACTGACGTTTAGGATATTCTGATGCACAAGAAAGCCTAAGAACATTGCATGAGGGGATTTGCAAGGGCTTTACTGAGGAGGTGATGTTCAAGTTAGAATGAGGAAAGATTTCTGGGGCGGGTGAGGGCTCCTATCCAGAGGGAACTATATGTACAAAGTCAGAGAAGTCTGAAAAAGCTTGGTGCATCCAGCCAGTGATTATAGTTGGGACTGAGCACAGTATAGGATTTTGGGGATGTAGAAGAAGGTGGAGATGTAGTCAGGGGCCACAGTTGGATGTGTCTTCTACGCTGGACCATGTATTTGTCATCCTGTAGGAAATTGAGAACCACAGTAACAATTACTAGAATAACAGATGATTTATAAATAAATTTGTCTGGCACATTATTAGTTGTGATATGGTCTATCTCTTTTATCTAATAGCAGAAATAAGTATAAAATGCTCTATAGCATACTTGGAGCTCCTAAGAGGGAAATGTTTTTTTAAAATATGGGTCTATAAAATTACTTCAAGCCTATTTCTCTGGTCCCCGGGATGGAAGTGGGGTTGCCTGAGGGGCCCGGATGTCTCGGTCCTCTGTTTTGGGTGCTGTGTCTGGCACACAGGCTGTCAGCATCTGTGCAGGAAGAAAGGGCCCCGGCTTGTGTGCCTCGGGAGGGCATCTTGTGCTCTGTGGGACTGAAAGAGGAGGGCTGAGTTGATTAAGGGTAATGTTGGCTGATTAGATAATCTGAAAATTAGTCTGATAATGTGCAAATTGTCTAAAAGAAGTGCATGATGTCATTGTTTCACTGATGGGAAAGATCTAACAGATGTTATTAGTCTTCTGACATCTCTGTCCTCTAACATATGGCCCAGGGGCAATGAATGCAGCTTTAAGAGATAGAGAGAATTACCTTTGATGCAGCTTAAGAATTTTGGATCACTCTGAAAGGTGCCTGAAATGCCAGAAAGCCAACACAACCAGCCACGTGCCCAACCTCAACGCAGGAATT